GTAGTGAAAGTAAAGTGTAAAAACTGTAAAGTGAAAGATTAAACTCGGTCTTAAATTTCCAGTGCCTGAAACTTGTTTTTATTTTTGGATTGTGTTTGCCAAAGTAACAACAAGTGTGACCTTGCCAACAAGTTTTAAATTGTTTTCCTCCAGGGCATGTCTCTGAACTTGGAGCCTGACAACGTTGGTGTTGTGGTGTTTGGTAATGACAAGCTGATCAAGGAAGGTGACATTGTGAAGAGAACTGGTGCCATTGTGGATGTTCCTGTTGGTATGGAGCTGCTAGGCCGTGTAGTGGACGCCCTGGGAAATGCTATCGATGGAAAGGTTATTTAAGACATCTTTTTAAATGAGTGATCGGTCAAGTTCCTGGAAGGAACTTAATAATGGTCTTTTCTCCTAACTGCTAGCTGTCAAAGGAACACTGTCTCAATTATTTACACATTTAAGTAGCTTTTAAATTTTGACCTGTCTAGTTGTTAAGCTCATTGTATGTCAACTAATGTAAAAAAAAAAACACACTGGTTAAAATGTAAACCAGTGCCTTAAGTAGGCTTGACTGAAATGACACATGTGCCCTGTTTCCAAATTAGTAAGCATCCCCTTGTCATGGATAAATAAATGAAGAACCTTAAATTTACTTTTTTTAAAAACTTTTCTCTTTATAGTTGGATAGTTATTATCTGAACATTTAAAAAATTCAATCTAAATTGTCAAGTAGGATCACTGGCTTTCTTTTCTTTTTTTTTTTTCTAACCCTTTATCATGTCAGCATCTTGGTATGACAGTGTTATAAACGCATATTTTCTTTTTAAGGGTCCCCTGGGGTCCAAGATCCGTAGGCGTGTGGGTCTGAAGGCCCCAGGTATCATCCCCCGTATCTCTGTGAGGGAGCCTATGCAGACTGGAATCAAGGCTGTGGACAGCCTGGTGCCCATTGGCAGAGGCCAGCGTGAGCTGATCATTGGTGACAGACAGACCGGGTAAATACAGAATTAGTTTTACCGTATTTACTGTTAGTGTGCTACAGTTTCATTGATCAAGGAAATCTGTAGCTTAGGTGCTTTTTTTTTTTTTTTTTTTTTTTTTTTTTTTTTTTTTGCTTAAGCTTATAAATATTCACTCAAATAAATGAATTGGTCATCTTCAATTGACAGCAAAACTGCCATTGCCATCGACACAATCATCAACCAGAAGCGGTTCAATGATGGAACAGATGAGAAGAAGAAGCTGTACTGCATTTATGTTGCCATTGGGCAGAAGAGGTCCACCGTGGCTCAGCTGGTGAAGAGGCTGACTGATGCTGATGCCATGAAGTACACCATTGTGGTCTGTGCCACCGCCTCTGACGCAGCCCCTCTGCAGTACCTGGCCCCGTACTCTGGCTGCTCCATGGGCGAGTACTTCAGAGACAACGGCAAGCATGCCCTGATCATCTATGATGATCTGTCCAAGCAGGTTAGTGCTCAGTTTGTAGTTGTAAAGTGAAGCAAAAAAAAAAACAGATTCAATCTCATATATTAAAATTACAGAATTGGTTCCCCACCCCACCCCCGATAAGTTTCCTGCGATTGCAGTTAACGAAAGTTGGGAAATGCCTTCATTAATATTAATGAGGAAATTGAGGCACTATTCCCAAGTATAAATTGGTAAATATCCTTTTTTCCCTCCCCGCAGGCTGTTGCCTACCGTCAGATGTCCCTGCTGCTGCGTCGTCCTCCTGGTCGTGAGGCCTACCCTGGTGACGTGTTCTACCTGCACTCTCGTCTGCTGGAGAGAGCTGCCAAGATGAACGACAACTTTGGCGGTGGTTCCCTCACTGCCCTCCCTGTCATCGAGACTCAGGCCGGTGATGTGTCTGCTTATATCCCCACCAATGTCATCTCTATCACAGACGGACAGGTTTGTCTTGAAGTCATTTTTAGCTGTTCTTGGCAGCAACCTTCTCCTTCATGAAGTCTTCTATTTTAAATTTTTCATATAGGCTATTTTTATGTCTTTATTGTAGATCTTCTTAGAGACTGAGCTGTTCTACAAGGGTATCCGCCCAGCTATCAATGTAGGTCTGTCTGTGTCCAGAGTAGGCTCTGCTGCCCAGACCAGATCCATGAAACAGGTAACATCTGGCTTGGAGATTTGTATTTGCATCAAGACTACAATCACAGATGATTTCTAACACTTTTTTTTATTTATTTCTAAATACCTAATAGGTGGCCGGTACCATGAAGCTGGAGCTGGCTCAGTATCGTGAAGTGGCTGCTTTTGCCCAGTTTGGCTCTGACTTGGATGCTGCCACCCAGCAGCTCCTTAACAGGGGTGTCAGGCTCACTGAGCTGCTCAAACAGGGACAGTACTGTGGGTAACATTTTATAGTTATCTCTTCTGTATTGAGGGATGGCTAAAACCTGAATGCAAACGCTGTATCTCTGTCTCTGACCACTCCTCCAGGTCCCATGGCAATTGAGGAGCAGGTAGCAGTCATCTATGCTGGTGTCAGAGGTTACTTGGACAAGATGGATCCCAGCAAGATCACAAAGTTTGAGAAGGCTTTCATGCAGCACATCATCAGTCAGCAGCAGGACCTACTTGCCGCAATCAGGTGAGAAAAATTCTTAGGCACAATTCTCACTGTTATTGTTGCTGTTGCAGCCCCTAAATTGTGGAATACTCTACCTCTTAATGTTAGATCAGCTACTGACCTGACTACTTTTAAGTAATTTCTTAAAACATATTTATTTATCTTGGCTTTTAATACATGGTAGCACCTAATGCATTCCTTTTAATTTATTAAATGTCACGTGTGTGTTCTGTTTTATTTTTGCACTGATCCTATTTTATTTTAGTTAGGGATTTTATTCTGCCTGTGTAAAATACTGGATGTTTTTAAAGTGCTAAATAAATTTTGATTTGTTATACCTTCAATTAACATGTGTATCCACAGTTTAAAAAGGGCCAGTCTGACTTATCTGTTTTCTGTTTCAGGACTGATGGGAAGATCTCAGAGGCATCTGATGCTAAACTGAAGCAGACTGTACTGAACTTCCTGTCCAGTTTTGAGTAATGGCTAGCACTTCTCTTGTTCCTCAGTGAGCTACCTGTCTGTGTCCCGATTATGCTTATATATGTGAACACTGAAGGCCAAAACCTTGGTGTACAGATTTCTCAAAATAAAGTTTTAACCACCCTTCCGAGCTGTAAAATTCTTCTGTGCGCTTAACTACAATAAGTTTAATGTTTCGGTTGATGCCATCTGTGCAGGTTTGACCAGTGGCATGCAAAGAACCCTCAGTATCTTAAACACGTCGTGTTTTGAATTTGTCCGCAGACTACTTCATTGTACCACAATATAAAGACAACATGCATAGCAATGCACATACCAGAGTCATGAATTCTGCTGTTCACTGTACTGTAATGATTTGTTCATAAGAGCATTAGATTTGTGAGGGCAAATGATGGGTTTTAGGTTGACATGACAAGTGTCTTGCTTTACTTTTCAGTGTATGCAAAGTATCTCAACTGTGGTTGAAATTGGGTGAAATGTTTGATACTATGGTAATAAATTCAGTGACACTCACAGTGTTGTGATGTCCTGTCATGGCTTGTTGAGACTACAGTGGAAGAGTGTTGCAACTCGGGCTGTCAAAGTTAATTCAATAACGCATTAACGGGGTGGTTAGCACTGTCATAGCAAGAAGGTTCCGAGTTCGAGTCTAGGGCGACCTGGGGCCCTTCTGTGCAGTTATAAAATAAATGTAGTAGAGTAAAAAGTACATTTACCTCTAAAATAGTGACTTCAAAGTATGAAGTACCAGAAAATGAAAATATAAGTACAGATGCCACAAAATTGTAACTGAGTAAATGTACTTAGTTACTTTCCACCACAGTTTAGAACAGATAGTGATTCATTTGCAGTTAATTGTTAACTATGGGCAATCAAGCAGTTAATCACAAATATTTTGACAACACTTGTATCTAATGATTAATTGGTGTTATATATTCAGTGCTGTTTAATCATTTTGCCTATAAATGACAAAAACTGAAACCTTTTTAGAGTCCAAGGTGATCTTTTCAAATTGCTTATTTTGTGTGACTGTTCAAAGCCCAGAGGTATTTGATTTACAATGAGACAGAAAAGCAGCATAATCGCCTGGTGTTCTCCATATAATTTGATTACACAGATTTTTGGCCCTAGTCTTTTAGAGTTGGTTTTAAAAAGATCAGTTTTATTAAAGTTCCTAATACTAATGTTTAGATTAACACTTCAATTTCCTCCAAACACCACCAGGTAGCACCATTTAATATTTTCTCATCCACAAGGGCTCAGACACAGCAATGTGCTGCCAGTCTGTGTATTCATCTCTTGATGGCATCTTGAATTGGCAGAATTAATTGATAAGGGTAAGGATCACAATTAAGGACAGTAAAGTATGCTATACAAATAAAGTTATCCAAAGTCAAGAAGTCCACTCCTGCTTGAGTACACACATCTGTATTTTTCATTCCACTTCCCTGAGATCTATTCCTCTTTTCTACTTCTGTTTGTTGCTCTTATTTAAAACAGGAACAAATGTAAGAGAACACTGCTTAACTTTACTACTTCTCTGAAACTAAGCTTTGTTCTCTCAGGTAGAGTTAAAGACCATTTAGAACCTCATTTCCATCCATTATTTATCCACTTCTCTTATGTTTTTTTAATATACAGTTGGTTCTGTCAAGAGGATCCTCGTCATTAGGTTCTCACTGTTTTCTCATTGTCTCGAGTTATTTAAGTAGTCATTGCCATTCCACTTCTCTTAAGACAATGTATGTGTAGTGTGGTGGTAGCTAAATTAAATGTATGAATTGAGATAAAGATTTCAGCGCTAAATCTTTAAAAGGTGCCATTTCACACTGCATTTGGACTCGTTTGTTTCTCCAGCAGCATCACTGCCTGGCAAAATAACGTGAGACATGTGACAGAGGGTGAATGGAGCTGCTTTCAGTAAGGACTATTGTCAAGGTCAGCGTGACAACAAGAGAGAGCTCTGTGAAGAAACAGACAACACAATTGGTCAGATTTCAGACATGGTGGAGTCAGAAGTGTTGCCAAAACAAGATGAGCCATTTTTCAGTGGCCCAACAGACATGAAATCATGATGCTGTGGCTATGAAATATTCATAATAATTTCACATGAATTATTTGGTTCTTTATATACATACAGTAGCAGGAAAATCATTACATAGTCTGTCCCTGGGATTGTTGTTTTTATATTGTTGCCCTCAAAATTTTAGCATTTTAAACTGACTCTTTTTACATTTTTAATTTATTCCCTTAATTTCTTTCTGTGTCTTCTTCTTCTTCTGCTCTCAGCTGTTCCGGTTAGGGGTTGCCACAGTGAATCATCAGTCCCCACCAAACTGACGATGCACACGTTAAACTTGGCATGTTTTATGCTGGATGTGCTTCTGGATAATGGCCAATTTGGTAGAGATGCCAGTCAACCTAAGCTGCATGCCTTTGGACTGTGGGAGGAAGCTGGAACACTCGGAGAGAACCAGTTTCTTTCTATGTATGTCTTAGTTTAAATTAAAGTGTTTGGAATGTCACTTTCTGACACCACAATAGCTGATTATAAATAGGGTTGCGGGGGGGCTGACATAATGATTTACTAATGCTTTATAAATCACTTAATAGGGTCACTTTTTTAATACCTAGTCTTTTTGGTTTGCTATTTAATTCATTAAGGAGGCCTCTCCAACATTCACCTTATGGAAAAGAACATGTAGGTGATTCACAGCTGATGGCTTATTGCAAACTGAGAAACCCATTTCTATTTACTGACATTTATAACTATATAGAAGATGACTAAAAAAGTGAGAAACATGGTAGTGCTTGTTACTATTTTAATTGCAGACTTGGAAAAGTCTCCTTGGCTAATAAAGTGTCATATTGGAGAAGGAATTTCCACACCCTGGCAAACCCAGTTCAGTAAAGTACAAGTAAAAGATTAACCAATGTTAAAGCCATACAGCTTATAAATCTATCAGTGATGCCTTATCAGAAAGTGGCACTATGTTGGGAAAGGCCTATTCATACTCCCCCTAGACAGCATTGCACATCGAAACCTTGCGTATATTGAATATGAACAAAAAAAAAGGGACTGTTTTGTTTCTAAATCACATTTGCTCAACAGGGTCAGCTGTGTTTTAGTCAAGAGAGAGAAAGTATGAAGTTTCTCTACAGGAACATTTTTACAATACATTTGTTAAAATTC